CTCCAGGAGCACCCGGGAGAGGCTCTGATCCACACTGTCTTTCACTGGGGATGAAGACCCTGGAGACACTTCAGTGCAGAGAGCTGGGGCATGTTTTTATCAAAGATCATTGCACAAGAGAGGGGGACAGTCCCAAAACACCCGGCACTGGCTCAGAGCAGAGTCACAAGGAGCAAACTGAGATCACCATTTCTTCATGAACTGGGCAATTAACAAGTGACACCTTTGGGCTTCCAGATGGGTCATTATTCAGTGACTAATATCCCCTATAATCCGTGTGACCTCGGGAGAAGCTATTCATGTCTCCATATCACAAATCCTACAGATGGACTGGTCCCTTTATCACAAGCAAACAGAGTCAAGACTCAATTTAAAAGCCACAAGAGCCAGCATGGGAAACTGGCCACTGCACATAGGTGGCCAGTCCCAGCTGAAGAGCTAGGAGGACCTGCTGATGAGCTGCCCCAGGTCTGACCCTGCATCCAGCTGGCTGGGGAAGCCAGGCAGACCTAAGGAGATCTCCACTTTCAAGATCTCCCACTTGTTCCCTAAGCGGCTGTCCTCAGTTTAATCAGTAACTGAACAAGTGGGATGAAATCCCAGCCAAATTACTAGCAACCGTCACAGCAGGATTCCCCTCCCAGCTCCACCACCTTTCTCATCTGGGTCACACAAGAAACTACCAACTGGCCACACTTGACCTGTTCCCAGCAGGCTGGGCCCCAGCACCTTTCCAGAGCATGCCCTGGCCTCTTTCAAGAGAGCAAATGACCTCCAGCCCCTCTTCTATAGCTCTGCACCAGCTGACAACGCAGCCGATGAACAGCAAGCGTAGATCTCAGCCAGGACTTCTCTGAACACCACACCGGAGGAGCTGCTGGACCTCCAGGAGGCATTTCAAGAGAGCAAAGCCAGGCTACTCTGATAACACGAGGTTCAAGCACAAACAGAGGCTCTTGCAGAGCTCTGCAAATCACCCTCCCAGCAGTCTGCATCTGGCTCCCTTCCTGGGACCATCCCTTCCCAGGACCATCCCTTCCCATCCTCCATGGGCAGAAAGAGATGCAGGACAGTCACATGGGCCAATATCAACATCCTAGGAAAAGGGAAAAACACAGACTCAGAGAAATAAAAACAATTTTGCCTAGCAACAATAAGAAGTGCTTCTTTCCCCCCCAGATAACAGCATCCAAAAGACAGCTCAGCAAAATCTTACCTACCTAAGACTGGCTGATTTCTCCTCCTGAAGCTGTGTTCAGGAAGGGAGAGGTGGTCACAGCCAGAGGCTGCATAAGGACGCAAAGGCTGATATACCAAAAAGGGTAATCTAGGAAGCTAAATAGTGCTAAAAAAACACCAAAAAAGGGGGGGGGAGTGGTATGTGGATACTGGAGCAGCATCAGGGCACTCTGAAATTGTGAAAGGGTAGAGGAAACCCAACCAGACACACCTGATTCACCAGGCTTTTCAGGAAGAGAAAAGCCCTCATGTCCTCATGGTAATTGGGCTGGCACAGCCCAGTGTTAAAAGACACTGCAAGTGTGATCTTGATTCGTTCATCTGCTGCAGGCTATAGTTGAAGGGAGCTGTAGCTAATCTTATTTTGATTGCCTTAAAATTCAGTTATGGGGAAAAGCCTGGCATGTGAGCAGATATATTAATCGTTTTGGAGCAGCCTTGCCTCTGAAGCTGGTGTTTGATTAAAAGGGAGCATAACCAACAGGCACTTCAAAAAGCTGGTGCTGTTTTTGACTGCCTCATTCGGAGCAGTTCCTGATGCTCCGATGTGCCTGGCAAACCCTTTGGGACCAATACTTGCATTTTCTTGTGTTCAGCGAACATTTCTATATCATTGTTCACATTTTAAGGACATGTGAGTAAACAGAGAAGAGGGATTTGCTTCCTCCTTAGAGGCTAAGATTAAAAGTCAAAATGTTTTATATAAATACATAAGCAGTAAATATAGCTTCTGAAGGTTTCAGGCTCAAATTGCAAGAGCTCCACGGTCTTAAGAGGAGGCCTCTCTACCCTACATAGTTGGGGAAATGGTGTTTAGGTAACTGCAAAGGAGGCTTTAGGCAAAAAGTCAGAAAACAGTGTCTAGAAGAAAGGAAGGATTTTCCCTTCTGACTTATTATAATCTTTTTTTAACATATATTTTTAATATTCATCTGAAAAACCATTTTGCAGCACAATGTTTGCTGTTTCAACCTTGTTTTCAGTTGGGTAATTGTGAAGCGAGTGGATAAATGCTTTCTCAGATGAGAACAAGAGGAACCATTAAGCATCAAATTCCTGTCTGAAATTTATGTTCAAGCTGGAGAAGCAAAGGACCGAAGCCTGCTCCTGTTATCACCCTGATGGCCAGCCTGGAGATGGCATCCTCTTGGCATCCTCTGCGGGGGGACACAAATGGTAGTCCACGTCTCTGCATCCGTGAGGCTCTGTGAGGCGCAGGGAGATGGTGTTTAGCCCCAGGACAAAACCTGGCTGCCCATCGTCTACTGCCTTGGCTGCTGGTGATGGTTGGTGGCCAAAACTAAGCTGTGCCCACTTTTCCCCCAATTCCTTTGTTCCCCAGGAGAAAAGGGTCTCTGGAGGGACAGAGCTGCAGCCTCAAGGATGCACAGTGTTTGGAGGTACAGGCACCTCAAAAAAAGCATTACCATGTCTTCTCCCTCCTTATGCGCAAGTGCCCTTACAAAAGTTTCCTTAATTTAGGTGTAATCCATTTTTTCCTCTGTAACATTTTCTTGGAAGGCAGAAAGAATAGTAGCTGCCCCCTGCCCCCCCGCACTCAAATCAACAGAAAACCCCAACGTCTTTGGGCTCATGAGTTACTCCAGAGCAGTGGGGGTTTCTTCTGGCTGCAGTATCCCTGCTCCACCCAAACAGAGGCCAAAGTCCTCGCAGTCACGTCACGATCGGAGGAAAGGACACGGTGTCTGCTTTGCTTCTGATCCAGTGACACTCCACCTCACACAGGGAGATAGCGTAATTTTGGGACTGTGGTAGGGAAGGTGCTACCTCGAATGTTCCCCAGAAGGCAGGTACAAAAGACCACTCGGTCCATAAAAATGTGATGGCAGGAATGGCCTCATCAGCCCAGCAGGATGCTCGTATGTAGTTAATCCATATTTAAAGATAGGAAGGGTTAAAGCATCCACCCCTGAAGAAAGTACCTCTTGGGGAGGTGGGAAATAGCACCAGAAGCTAAATAAAGGACTTGGGGAGCAATATAACACATTTCTACTACCATGCTTACTTTTCTAAATGCCTGGTTTTATACCCAAGGTAGATGAGCAACATTTTCTCCATAGGGAGAGTGGGAAAGGGTCCTTTTCCACAAAGCCCCTTTTTTTTTTTCCTCCACAAAGTTTGCTGGAATTTTATTTTCTGTGGGATTTCTACATCCTGTAGAACTTGTGTGGAGGAGGCTGGGGAGATGCACAAACACCTGTGCTTACCCCATAACCCTCCCTATGGACACTGAGAAGCCCCATCCCTTTCCCATACCAAGAGAACCCCACTCCACTCACATGACCCACCAGAGAATCTATGGCCACCTACAAAACCCAATTTTCTGAAGAGCACACATTGATTGCAAGACCCTCACCGCAAAAGTGAAAAGCCAAAGCCTACCCACTATCAGGGTCAAATTCCCTTCAAACGGTGAAGGCAACACACATACAAGAGAAGCTGCCAGGATGAATCAACAGAAAGGAGGCAGAAGTCAGAATTAAGGTTTTGTTCTTTTTTTCTTTTTTTATTATAAAAAAACCCAACTATTCAGAAGAAGTCCAAATGCAACGGAATATAACTGGCACCATCTAAGATACCGAAGTGTAAAATCCTGGAACGTTTGAACCCCCGGGCACAAGCTGGGAGGTGCCAGGGCTGGCTGGGAGGGACAGGTGGCCTCTCCCTTCTCCTAGCCCCCATCACAGCAGGCAGCCCAAGAGCCAGGACACAACAGTGACATCAACGGTCTCTGTAAAACCATTCAGTTTTAGAAACTAAGAATATTATGAAAAAAAAAAATCTAAAACTTTTTTTTTTCCTTTATCAAAAGCCCTGCTTTAGTGACATGCTAGCCCTGCTGGAAAGGTAAAACACCCACAGCTCTGTCCAGAACACGGTTCAGTTGACCAGTCAACTCCTAGTTCAGGACACCTTCTGCCTGTTGATCTAACACGCTCATAAGCGCGTCACAGCTGCTCAAGTTACAGTGATAAATGCTTCTGTGGGCTTCCTGGGTCTGGGAACCGCCTCCTGCAAACTCCACTCCACGCTGAAACAAATCTCATCCGAGTCTCCTCCGCCAAGCCCTCCAAGCTCACCCTCAGTCCCACCTAGGGGCCCTCCAACAGCATCCTCCGGAGCTCTGCCTGCTCTAGCCGGGTGAGTCATTGGAACATCATCTCTTTTTTTAAAAAAAGCACTTTTGTATTTTTTTTTGTTGTTTTTATATTTAAATAGAAAAATACTACTTCACTCTGTGTTATGAGCCAGAGACCAGTTGACTTCCAGTGACAGAACCAGGAGTCCTCCTCAAAGCTCCTACACTGAGCTCAATGCGAGAAGATTCCCAGAAGCCTCAGCGTGGCCAGAGGGTGAAGATCTCCCCATCACACCATACAGGCAGGAGCACACAGGGCTCCATCACAACTCACGTCTTCCCTTCTCCGCAGAAGGGCGCCAACCTTAGAGAACCATTAGCTTGCAGAAAGCCAACGGTGGGGCTAACACCGCAAATTTGACTCCCGAGGGAGTCAGCTATAGTTCTAAGCTTTCCACTTGCCTACTCGCTTTTTGTGTGTGCAGTCTGTCCCTGGAAGCCACTGGATCCCATCAGATGTACACATGAATTAGACAAAAAGTAAAACAGTGGTTAAAAGTTCTCTAACACCTTCTCCTCCTCTTGTCTTCTGAAGAGTCAATGACAAACAGACATCGATAAAACTAAATTTGCCCTCCTCCCCACCTCAAGACAACAAGAGTTACTGAGACACAAAACGTGTTATCTTGTACCCTCGGGATTACATCTAGAAGGGAAGTTTAGGGGTGCTGGAAGTGTGGGGGAAAGGCAGTGTTTGCGGGCGCAGTCCGCTTAGTTCTTGTACTCAAAAGGCTCGTCTCCAGTTTCGTTGAGGAGACACGTGCGGACGAGGGCCTCTGTCACAGCGTAAGGATCACAGTTGGCGGAGGGCCGGCGGTCCTCGAAGTAGCCCTTCTTCTCATGGCCCACGTTCCTGGGGATGCGGATGCTGGCACCGCGGTTGGCCACGCCAGCAGAGAACTCGTGGATGTTGGATGTCTCGTGGAAACCCGTCAGGCGCCTGGCATTGTCCAGCCCCCCTTTGGGGTCATAGGCACGGATGTGGTACTGGTGACGCTTGCTCAGCTTCTCGATGGCCTCTTCAATGTGTCTGCAAGGGGAGCAAGGAAGAGGGGAAGACACATTGAGTATCTAATGGACGGTACAAGCATCCAAGTCACAGCAGATTAACTGCTGTCATGAAGAGCCACTTCATGATGAAGCCTGTGCCCTACAACCCACTTTTCTGATCATGTCAACACAGGGCTTCTCTCTACTCCTACTTCTGACGCAGGCTGGTTCTTGGAAAAGGATCCCCATGGCCTCAAAATGTCCCTCGGGAATGCTGTGTATGGGACACCACCAGTTTGACCCATGGCCAAATCCCACAGACACACTGCCCTGGGGAACCCGCTCTCAGAGGAGAGATTCCTTAACATGGAAGTTTCTATTTGGGAAGCTCACACGGTCACAGGTTGGCTCATCATCTCAGGGCATCACTAAGATTAAGGCAAGAAAACACAGCTGCGAGGAGGAATCCCTTCCCAGAGCTCCACTGCAACCCAGTGCTGTAAGTCCCTGCCTGGACATCAGCACATCAGTCCCATATGGGAACTCTGGTTTTACATTTCCAGGATCTTCTTGTTTAAGAAAACATAGCATTTGCTTCCACAGCCTGGCCAAGACAGAAGCAAATGGTCTTTCTCTTTTATCAGGGTTATAAACAAAAAAAGGCCTATACTGAGTTTGTTTGTTTGCAGCATTGGCAGATCAAAAGCTGGACAGCCTGTTAGAAATAGCTGCATCCTGGCTACCTGTGCTTCCATCAGTACTGATGGAGCTGTACTGCTGGCTGAATTCCCCACCCAGCACCAAGAAGGGAGTATATCATTATACAAAAAAAAAAAAAAAAAATCCAGAAGAAAGGTTCAAACATATAACCAAGCACCAGAGTGACATCTCCCATGTGGTCAAAAGCTCTGCAAAAAGCTCGCTGCTACCAACCAAGTCCAGCCTGCTGCCTAGCAAACAGATACTACCGGCCCATCTCAAAAAACTTACTTGAGACCTCCATCTTCCCTCATGTTCTTGGTGCTGAAGTTGGTGTGACAGCCAGCACCGTTCCAGTTCCCAGGGATGGGTTTGGGATCGAAGGACACAATGACACCAAAGTCTTCGCACACCCGATGGAGGATGAAGCGTGCAATCCAGAGGTGATCCCCCATCTCAATCCCTTCGCATGGTCCCACCTGGAACTCCCACTACAAGAAGGAGGAGTCACTGGCTCAGTGGTGCAAAGACACTCACAGCGAGACACTTCCCACCCCCTCATGCTCTGATTGTTGATAAAACTACACGGCTCAGAGCCAAAAGCTCCCGCTGCCTGGGATTTTTCTGTATTAACTCATTCCATGAGGCACCTAAAACAATTTACCTGTGCTGGCATCACTTCTGCATTGGTTCCTCCAATTTTCACGCCAGCATAAAGGCACGCTCGGTAGTGGGCCTCCACAATGTCTCTGCCGTAGGCTTTGTCTGCCCCTACCCCGCAATAGTACGGACCTGCAATGGCACAGGTGAACAGCAAGGGGAACATGAGTTTCCAGGAAGAAAAAGGCTTAAATTCAGTGAAGACTGAGCACGCACAGGGAAGAACTCTCCAAAGGCTTGGGATGGGGGGCAAAGCCCCAGAATCTGTTTTTCATGGAAGCACTAGCAGAGCAGAGCACTGCACAAAGCAAGTCCCTCTGAAAGTCTGAGCTTGTGCTCTGTCATGCTGGGCAAGAGTTTAAGTCACCTGCAGACTAACAAACCAAGCAGCAAATTTAGATGTGGCCAGTCTTCATCTTAGCCTTTCTGTAATGATCTTAATTTCATGGGTGAGTTTTTGCCAATATCCTGCTTGCTATAGTCCACCTTCGGTTCTAGGAACACCTCGAATCTTTCAGCTCGCCTGAAGCACTTAAGCTGCGACACACGGATTACAGATCAAACACGGTGTTAAGGACTCCTGACTTGGTCCAGCACAGACTCCCGAGAGGTTACCTTGGGGTCCAGGGAAGCCATTGGAAGGCCAGCCAAATGGATGTCCATCTGTCCCCAGAAGAGTGTACTCCTGCTCCATCCCAAACCAGGGGTGCTGGTTGGACACCATGTCCATAATCCGCCTGCAGGTGTGTCGGAGATTTGTCTCTAGAACAGAAAAGCAACATGAGGCTTATCAGCATCTCCACCTCCATTCCCCATTTCCACTTTATTTACAGTCTGTGTCCCAGCAGTGTCAGTAAAGAATCCCAGGACCAGGCCTTTCTCCACCACCAGCACTTTGTCTGCCTTTTACTTTCAGGGCAGGGATTATTTCTGTGTCATGCATGATACTAAGGGCACGAACAGCATTTCAATAGGTCTCCCATTCCTCTCCCCAGAAACACCACCTCCACCACAAGGTCCATTCACCTGCAGACTGGCGGTTGTATTTGAAGACCTCGCAGAGAACTAGTTTATTGGGATCCTTGCGAAAAGGGTCCCGAAACATGGCAGCAGGTCGCAGGTACATGTCACTGTTGGAGCCTTCAGCCTGGAAGGTGCTGGAGCCATCGAAATTCCACTCGGGGAGATCTGGAACGGAGAGACGAACGAGCCACAGTGACCCAGGGTCCCCGGTCACCAGGAGGATGGGCTCCCTGCCATCCTCCAGTATTACAGAGGTGAAGATGCTTATAGAGAACAGGCCTACAATAGGTTTAATCCCAGCTCAGCCGATTTTGTTCCAAATGGGGGAGGCAAAAAAAACCCCAAACAAAAAACCAAAACAAAACAAGCAAAAGACAGGGGAGTGCAACTCCCCCACCACCCTGGGTAACACAAGGAGCTGGGCTGCTGGCCAAGACCAAGCGAACGGAGCAGTACTGAGTATGTTTCCCCTGTCACGGTCACCACCGGGATAAGCAGAGCACCCAGTCTCCTCGCAGGGGTGGCTAGGCAAGCTGGGAGAGGGCAGAGCATGAGGTATGTTCAAGCTGTAGGAACAAGGGGAGCCATGAAATACCCTTATCCCTGTGGCATGGCCTGGAGAAGGTGGGAAAGCAAATGATGTGTAGGTGGAGTCTCATAAGGAGGAGTATGGCCAGCTTGGTCCCATCGCCCACCCCTCCTGGCTGTGCACTGCCCTCCAGGCCAAAGCACAGCAGGAGCAGCAGCGAACTCCACCCGGGCAATGTTATCTCCTCCATATCCTGGGGGGAAAGTGGAAGGATGGGAAGCACAAAGATTTTGAAGGAGCTGTGCCAACCACTCCCTTAGAGGGAAAAGGGAAAGGAGAGACAAAAAAACCAAAACAAACAAAACAAAAAAAAAGAGATAATTCTGCTCAGTCACACACAGTATTTTCATTTCATAACTGTCTCCAGCCAGTACCATGGCAACCTGAGGAAAATCCTAATGCTATTATTGTGTAAGCTGGGACTGTTTGTTCTGAGGGACACAAGCTCTTAATTACACCGGATAGCTCCATTCTTTCCCCTCCACTTTCTTCTGCCAAACTACTTCCGGCCAAAACGAGTACTTGAGAGTCAATGGGCCGCCAAGGCCCTGCCAACAGCCCCCAGCCCTTGCCAACAGCCCCCTCCGCAGCAGGGGCAGCGCAGGGACTGGCTCCGAACCCCAGGCATCTCACTGAAACTCCACATCTGGAGAGCTGGGAACGTCCCACCCGGGGTATCTGGGGCAGGAGGTAACTGGGAGGGGGTGAGGAGCGGTGTCTTCCCCAAATACCATCCTTCTGCCACGAGAAGGGAGAAATGGCATCCTTTCTCCGGAGCAGCCAGGCACGGCTGCTTCTTCCACCTGGCGAGGGGCTGCGAATCCTGCACCTGCCCTCTCACCTTCAAGGCTCTTGGGCTCGTGGTCCAGCGTGCGGGTTTTGCAGCGGAGATGCTCTCCAGTCCCATCGATCCAGATGTACATGGCCTGGACCTTCTCCCCCTGCGGCAGCTTCATGTACATGTGCTTGATGGCTTTGCTCAGGTGGGAGCTCGCCGAGGTGGCCATGGCTGCAGACCGGATGAGGGGATTCCTGCAGGGAGGATACAAAAAACAACCCCAACCGTGAGCCCTTCCCTGTGCTCCCAGATTTTTCAACCCCCAACCAGGGAGGAGCACAAAACAGCTCGGCCACAGGGCCGGCTACCATCTCCAGCAGTCCCGTGCCATTCTGCAGGCAGAAAACACAGCAGCTCAGGCAGAGGCAGACAGCTAGAAAAGCCCTGCTCCAGAAGCGATGCCTTCAACGTGTCCCATTAATACCCAAACTCCTGGCTGCATCCTGCCAATAAACTAGGTCTTATGCACCAAGCAACAGCCTTCAAAAGTGCTCCTCAGCCCTGTGTGAACTTTTCACCTCCATGCTCACCACTGCCCCGGAGCAAGGCTCATACACAGGAAAGCTTAGCTGGGGCTTTCTTAACGTACTTGCTTCAGCAAGGAGAGCTCACCAGCCCCAGCTGCCTTCTCAGATCAGCTGGTCCGAAGTCATACAAGCCTTGACTGGGGCAGGAAGCAGCGCAAAAGAAAGCGAGAAGCAGCGCAAGCAACCCCTGAGCAGCCCAGGCAGCAGCCTCCCGGCAGCGATGGGGAGGCTGAAGGGGCTCTGCTCCCAGGGGCTGAGGGCTGCAGCATCCCCGCAAGCCCAGCACCGCCTGGAGCGGGGCTCCCAGGGGCAGCCAGCCCCCGTGTGTCAGGACCACAGCGGCCGGGGTCCCCGCGCTTTTGCAGGAGCTTAGAAACGCAAACGATTTGGAAATTTGAAGTGACTTGGAAAGTCACTCCAACACCCTACCCCTCTGCAGGGAGGCTCGGGCTGCCCGGACCAGAGCTCCCCAGCCCACCATAGCATGGCGGGGCTCCTCTGCGCTGGCCGCGGGGCTCTGCTCGCCCCGGGGGGGCTCCCCACCGGCCCCACTCCACTGCCAGAAGCGTCACCCACGCGTGCAGCTCCTGGCAGGGAGGAAGGCACCCGTATTTAAGCAAGCAGCTGAAGAGCCTTGTGAAGAAGAAACTGCAAAAAGCAGCTGTTTTCAAGAGAAAACTCGAGCTGCCTCTCCACCTCCCCCCGGCCAAAAAAAAAAAAAAAAAAAAAAAGGAAGAGGAAATTTTCCCCTTAAAGATCTGGACGC